TGTGTGTGTGTGTGTGTGCGCGCGCGCGTGTGCGTGCGTGCGTGCGTGTGTGTGTCTGTGTGTGTGTAATTTATTGCTTGTAATTAGCATCTAAGTTTCTCATTTTAAATATTGACAAAGAAGAGAGAAAAGTATTCCCTTTGGTCTCATTAAAAATTGTTATAATTACTACTACTTTTCTTACGTATTTATCTAGTTTATCTATTAGCTTGATTTATTAAAGTTGAGATAGATACTTTTAAGGAATATACGCATCATATATAAGACGTTTACGCGGCACAAGTTGCGCGCTATTAGCATCCTAATTAACTAAATAAACGGCGAGATATTATTCGAGCTATGAGACCGTCGGGACTAGAGAATGCAGGTACATTCGAAAGGTTTTTTACATACAAAACAAATAAAAACCAAGAAAAGTATTAAAGCAAGCAAAATCGCAGAACAGATCTTTTATTGCAACAGATTAAATTAATTTTGGCAAATTAATTGGTAGTTAGGATGTTTAGAGTTAAGTGAGAGTTTACTCCTTCTCTCTTTTACTTTTATTACTAATCTTATTCATGCTATTTTTGCATTCATCTTTGCACAATAATTTTGTCTTACTTCTCTTACGAATCCCTTGATTGCTCCCTTTATTTCACGTTTCTTTTTTTGTTTTAAATAGTACAAAATCGAATTCTAAAATCAAATTAAATGCTACAGAGGAAAATAGAGAAATAAGAGTAATATTTATAATCTAGTAAGATATTTCTTTAAACTATTATTTTATTACCTGTGTGTACTTAAAGTTATTAACTATCCCTAGCTGGCGCTTAAATCTGTAATACAGTTATTGACACCGAGTCTGTAAGACCAATTTAATATATGTTGATTAAAAGACACTGATTAATTTCCAAAAATTAAAATGACATAACTCGTATAAAAAAGAATATTAAATTTATTTTAATAAGGATGATCCAAATTTGCAAATGTGGCATAAAGAAAATTGTTTGACATTTTTGTGCAAAATGTCAAATGCTACAATAATAGGTACAAGAATTAAGAACTAATTATTAATTCAAATATATAATAATATATTTTTTATTTTAACATTACTTCACAGAGAAAACTTAATTATTTTTTACTCATCAGAATCTTTGTTATCCAAATAAATGGCTGAATAATGGACCTATCGTCAAATCTGGGAAAGATTAAGTGACTTGATGTTCGAAAAAATTTACAGCAAATTCTTTTCTCAATACTTTTATAATAAATTAAACAGTCTTCATAAAGATAAGTTAAATTTTTATTTTATGTTCCAATTTCAATTATATATACATATAATAAATAATAGAAGCATAATAGCGAAGAATTTTTATTAATATGGAATAAAGAATTTTTATAATATACAGTAAAAAATCTTTATTAATACACAATATGTCTAAATGCTATCTAAAATTTTAAGTACAAAATGTAATATAAAAATTAAATCAGGTTCTAGCAATATTTCATGCGAATTATTAATAAAACAATTAACATATTTTTCGAGAAAGATAAAAATTTACTCTAAAATTAAATATATATAAATGTAAAAAAGATGACATTAAATAATTAGTCTTATATTTTTTATACACACGCGCGCGCGCGCATACACACACATACAGAAGTTTAAATATAATAGTAAGATAAAAATAATCTACCGTAAATCTGTGGCATATAATATGCTAGAGAGAGATTTAAGAGAATTTAATATATTAAATTTTAATGCATTATTTTTAGTTTAACATGTTTAATAATATACGCATTTATCAAGGTTTCATGAGATTAATCGCCCTATTACAGCATCATGTTATAAACATGCATGTTATTACAATTAAATGTAAAAAAATGTAAAAAGAACTTACTTTTCCTACTATTAGCAAAAATGAAACAAGCCTATAAATATAAAATCTACTAAAAGATTACGTTATAACGAAATGACAAGTCCTTAAAATTTTGACTATATAAATTTAATGCTCGCAAAATGACTGTTTTAGTGATGCAATGTCCTCTGTTAACAAAACTCGAGACTACGTTCTACTTTCTACGTTTTAAGAGCAATAAAAATACATAAAATAGATCTTTATCGATGTACAATTTTATCGATGTCTGTTATATACATTTCCTTTTATCTTTTAGCATTCAACAATTATTCATAATATCTTTCTAGTCCTAACTCTCTATTTTATTGCCAACTGGTGTTTGTGTTAGCTTCAATATCAACCATGTAGTCATGTACAAATATATAATTCATATATTATATGTACAAATATATTATCACGTATCCACATTTTCGATGTAATTTTCGGCTAACTCCATATGGATTAATTGCGCCAATCGTTCCATTGCCTGAAATATAAGTAGAGGTATAAATATTGGAAAGTCAATTCGTTTAGCAGCAAAAGATAAACATGTGTGTTTCGGATACTTTATTCACCGTCGATTAGATGCTGTACGTCGATAAAGTAAAATAAATTAATAGATGTGACAAAATAAAAATAATAAAACAATCATTTTTAATTTAATATGTTTAATCTAAATTTAATATGTTTAAACATACAACTTTAAAGTGTTTACTTTGAACTTTATAATTAATCCATAATAATCGATAATCCCAATTTATGATTGAATATTTCGTGGATGTATGTAAATACATACATATTCATAAATATAATAAATTAACATATGTAATATACTTATAAATACATAAATATGTATATAAATATAGAAATTATAAATACCAGGTCCATTTCCTCGTAGGAAGCCTTGGTGAAACTTGCTCTGATGGCATTAGAGCATTTTGTAGGGTCTCTCATAAATGCGGCTCCTGGAGCCATAATAACACCTTCCGTTACGCCTCGCTGCATCATCTTCCATGTATCTTTGATTCCTGGTACTTTGATCCATAAGAAGAACCCACCTCTTGGTACGTTGAACTCCGCCAGACCTATAAAATGAGATTCATAATTTTCTAATTTTTTTAAATTGTAACAACTTATCGGCTATCTGTAAAACATTTTTGCGCTTATCAAATAAATTGTTATCACACGTAAAAAAATATAATATCTACATATAATATCCGCTAAACAAAATTATATTGCAACAACGTTTTTGTAACGTTACGTTATAATCATGTGACGTTTTGCGTTTTAACGTCGCATAAGTATTTTGGTAACGTTCCAGAAATCAGAAATGTCCTAAATCAATTATTTTACATATGCGACGTGTCACATTTGCAACGTTTCTGCGATATTTGTAAAACTTGCCTGCGATGTTAGGGACGTTACAGCTTTAGAACAATCCAGAAATGTTTCTATAACGTTCCAGAAACAAGAAATAATTCGCTTGATTTATATTTAATTTACAAATTTCATAATGTGCCTTTTATTCTATTCGTGGATGGATTTTAATTACGGAAAAATGCGACACTGCCACTTCTATCTAGTGGCGGGATTGCATACTACTCATGGGTAGCGAAATGAATGTTTCAAAAACATTATATATGTATGTAATATTGAGGCAATGTTTTTATAAGAAAATTTGCAAAGAAAATGTTTTACCATATACAAAACGTTATTTCTACATCACGTTTCTTTTGTGACATATTTGAGATGAAAATGCAACGTATCTGACACATTCCATGGAATAACGCAAATGAAACGTTACTTTTAAATGTTTATAAGACCTTTTATGAATCTATATAAAGGGTGGGCCATCTATTAGTACGTTTTTGAATTTTTGGGGGG